CCTGGGTGAGTAGCGGTAGCTCGGGGAGCCGCGGGCCAGCCCGCCACCCACTGGTGCCCGCGCGCACGTTGCGGCAGCCTCCGGGCGCTGGGCAGCCCCAGTGGGGTCCGGCCGGGGGGCGGGCAGGGCCGGTTCTTCCTAGGGGACCGGGGCTGTGAAAGCTTCCTGCTCCCCGCCTCTTCCACCCCCTTCACTGCTGCAGATGGCGCAGCCCATGCTCCTGCCCCACACGCCCTGGTATCGCCCCTCCTCTCTCCCTTTGCAACTTGCCTGATGGAGCAAAGGTGCTATCTCCTTCCCGAAGTCCTTGCAGCTCGCAGGAAGCCAACAGCGCCCGACCTGCAGTGGGACTTGTGAGTGTCTTCCTATTGGAAAGTGATTTTTCCTTTTCCCCACCCCAGGCAACCAGTCATGACAGCTGAAAAGACCATTCCCATCATTAACGGCAAGTCAGAAGATGCTTTGGACCCAGAAGCCTCCAGTACCAACCTCGTCCACAGTAATGATAAAAAGGTGCACGAAAGGGGCCACTGGAACAATAAGGTTGAATTTGTCCTGTCCGTGGCTGGGGAGATTATCGGGTTAGGAAATGTGTGGAGGTTCCCCTACCTCTGCTACAAGAATGGAGGAGGTAAGCTGGCATCCCATGTCGACTCGCTGCTCACCCTAACCACATGGTAAAGAAACAGGAAACAAATGCTTCCCTGAGACTTCTTGCACTGGGTATAAAGGACAGGTGTTTTGAAGACTTCGGGGATTGTGCTGCTGGGGAGGTGTTGCACATTTTGAGGCTGTGCACCAGTGCTTTTTGCTTTTGGAAAACTTTGTACAGTTTCCTTCATCTTTCACAAATTCATATATGCATTTGGGAAATTACATTTTGTCATGAACTCAGGGATGCATTTACAGACCTTTGTGAAATCATGTGGAAATGGCCTAATGCAATTCAAAATGGTCCCATTTGAGCACTAGCATCTCATGAAAAAGAGGCTATAACGCTGTTAAAATGGATTGTGTGCTATTGTATTTTTTCTGCATGGAATAATAAACACGTATGCATACTGTCAAAATATGGGACAAGGTGACAACATGAAACAGCTGTGTGCTGTTCAGAGTAAAACCAGAATGTTTTGATAGTGGTATATGGAACACATTGCAATCATAGACTGAACCTTTAGAAAGCCTTCTATCATATCTTCATCAGTAGTTTTCTTCTCTGACAAAAGACAGTCTCTTTAAATAAACTCCACCTGTTTTGGTTTTTCATTCTCAGCCCACAACAATGGTATAGGGAAGGAAGTTGAATTGCTTGCTGGTTGAGCTGCTTGCTAGCTACATTATTAAATATTAGAAATGTCATTACATATCAAAGTTGTGGAACAAGATAAAAAGATAATAGTTATGCAACAGCGCACCATACTCTAAGACAGTATCCAATACATAGGACTCATGCCAGTTATGTGGAAGTAGTTCATTCATGGTATAACTAGCAATGGAAAAATAAAAATGTAGGTTAGATATGTGCTGGGCTGGACACAAACTATTTTTTACTTAAAAGCTAAAGCAGTAGTTAGAGCATATGGGTTAGGAAGAAAATAATATACCCAGTTGTTTTAATAGACAGGTGAATAAAAACCCATTCTTCAGTGGATCTCCTTGGAGATAAATTTGGCCTACCATTTTTAGCATTGTTACTCAAATGAGTAATACCACAGATTATTCTGGCCCATTCTGTTTCCCATGTTTCTAAAGAAATATGTACCGTAAGTACATGTGCTCTGTAACTTGGATTTCCTTTTGTAACTGCACTCTCATAAAAGAAACTATCTTGTTTTCAAGATTATGCTTTTTAGTAGGGTTTTTATTATGTAAAAATAACAGTGTGGGTTTAAAATATGGAGAAGATTTTTCATTTGTTAGAATTTTCCCTGTGTTTTTTTGACAAGGTAAAATCTGAAAAATCAATATGAAACACATATGAAGACATACTTTCCTATATGTTATCCTATGTGCGCTCAGCTAAATATAAGTGGCTCTGTATGTGTTCTATATATTTTAGCTAATCAACATGTAATACTGTTCTTTAATTAATATAATTTTGGATATAAAAAGAACATAAATAACATTTACTTATATTTCTAATAAGACAACTAATAGGAAAATCATATTCCGTTCCCAATTTTCGCTTTGCAGCTACCTTGAATTGAGGTGCCTTTTTTAACCTGGGATCAGAATTGAGCTCATTTAATACACAGAGTTTCTGCATCTGTATTCACTGTTCAGGCCAAAAGTTGTGAACAGACATTCTATGGTATATATCTACACTTCTCCAAGCAGGCTAATTTACCACCATTGTAAACATGGAGTTCCATGCTACTATGGCTAGGCTGCTTCTGCCACAGTGTGACATCCCTTGATGATTTTGATGTGTTTATAAGCATGAGAATGTGTTTACTGGTCCTGGTGGATTTTATTGCAAGATAAATAGTCCTTTATAATTTTGATAAGTTATCATCTGATCAAACTGTTTATCTGGATAGTAAAAACACCAGTTTTCTTCTCTGTGACACTGATATAAATCTATTGAAATCAGTGAAGTCATGCTAATGTAACCCTGGAGTGAATAGGTACTCATGCTAAAGTAATTATGAGCATGTGTCCTAGCAGGCTGAGCAGGAGTTGATTTAAACCAACAATTCTCAAACCCTGGTCCACTGAGGATTTGATGGACGGGGTTTGCACAGTGAAACGTTTGGAGATACTACCTTTTAAAGAAGCTGGGAGAGGAGGTGGTCCAGGCAGAGAGGGTCTGCAGAATAAAACTGTAGGTCCTGGTGATACTCCACTGAGCTTTTTCAAAGCAGGTATACTTAGCTGTATCTCCTGCTATAGATAGAAGTGGCTGAAACATAAACCATCATTGCAGCTTCCTCTGTGTCTTTTTTCCCCATTACACAGAATACCTGGTTATTTACACTGCCTCATAGATTTCCTAAAACAAAGTTCAGAAACACTTGGTTCATAGATGCAGGTATCCAGGTTGTAGTCATATTGGTCTAGAGGAAAAAGCAATCAGGGCTCAAGGACAGAGGGGATATCTTTTATTAGACTAACAAGATTTTTGCAGAAAAAAAAAATTCTTTAATTGCAAGCTTTCAGGCACAAACACCATTCATCGGGCATCATCGAAAAGATTGTAGAAGTTCTCCTGGGTAGAAATGGAAGTTCATATTTCATAGGATTTCACAGAGGGGTCAATAGATGGAAAACACCTCTGGGCAGCAGTTCTTAGCTGGTTACCCAGAAGAACTTTTACAATCTTTTCTCTGATGCCTAATGAAGGGTGTTTGTGACTGAAAGCTGATAATTAAAGAATTTTTTTGGCAAAAATCTTGGTGGTCTAATAAAAGATATCAACTCTGTCCATGAGCCCTGATTGGTTCATAGATAACATTCAGGAAGTAAACCCATATTCTTGCAGACATGGTTACAAATGGTTTTTCATTAAAGTTAAATTTTATTTTCAGGGTCCTTGTTAAGGAGGTGAAATTATCAGTGTAGTGTAGTATAGCATAGTGTTCAAGTAGTTTGTTGTGGATGACAGTATTTTAAAATATGTGTTCCTAAAAGAGAAAGGGAACTATTGTGCATTTAAATGGTGTTTTGAAATGCCAGGATAATGATTTAAATCAGTGGGACATCTCAACAGAAGTTCAGATTAAAGTATTATAGGCCTTTATTCAGAAACAACAGGTAGGGGCTTGGATTCTGCCATTCTAGCTCATGCTAAATAATGCCTTAGTCTGCAAGTAGCCCCAGTGATGTCATTGGAATGTTGTTTATTGCTTTACTTCATGAAATATGAATAAAGGTGGTACTGAGTTTCTTAGCTGTCTTTAGTTTGCTGTTTCCTTTATGCTTGTTTACGTCTTCGCTTGTTTAAGTTTAAACCTGTATTTTTAAGCTAGGGACAGACATTCAAAAAGCCTGAGCCTAAATTGATTCAGTCTTTGCAGGATAATCTACCCTGGCTAGGCTAAATCAGTTTTGTAACCAGACAGACATCCCATAAATGCAGGCACATGCCTGCAGTGGGTTAGGCTAGAAACTGGGAGTGCTAGAGCAGCCCTCCTTTGCCTTGCATGGTACTGAGCAGCCAGGGAGCCGGGGGGAGGGGCCAGCCTTGCTGTGGAGTAGAGAGCCCTGCCCAGCCCAGAGAGAATTCCAGGATGCTGGGGGAGTCTGATTTATCTTAAACTAGTAAGGGGTCTGGGACAGAGATTGCATAAGCCAGTTTGACCCAAATCAGTTAAGACTGATACTACATTCAACCAGGTTTATCTTAAACCAGTTTCGGCTGTTTTCAAACTGGTTTATGTAGTTTATGTGCACTGAACGTCTGTTATGTTACAGATTTGAACTAGTTTCTGATCACTTAAACTGGCTTACCTGTAATGTCTGTCCCTAGCCTTAATGAACACTACTAAATTCAGTAGCATGGTTTGGTGCACACAGAATGTAGCACAGAGCTCTTCTCCTATGTCTTTTTTTTTTTTTTCGCTTATTGCTTGTAGCAAAAAAACTGTACCCTGTTTTTAATTACATATGTTAGATTTGTAGGGAAGGTCATGGGAATAGCAATGGATGCAATTAAGATCAGAATTTGACCTAACATTTATTTTTCCTTACCTCTTTTTGTGTATGTAACCTATGCACATATTACTGTATTTGTCTTTCTGTTCATTTTGCTGTTATACACCAATATTTATCATGATTAATCATTAAAGAAATGCCTTTTAACTTAAAAATGATGTTAGTTTTATTAATGTGAAAAATTTACTGTACATTAATCCATAATAAAAGTATTTAATACTGTAAAATTCTAGCACAGGGTTGTATGTATTGCATAATTTGTAATCTTCGCTGTGGGAAACTAACAAAAATGCTTGGTTACTTTCCTAATATGTGGAATTACAGTGTTCATTTTTTGGTTAACATTTGCTCCTGATATAAGTCCTCCTGTAAGTAGCTGCTTAGTTCAATCTGTCTGTCTATGTGATCTTCATCATACTCAAATACCTTACATAATTCTATCTGGATTTTATTTTCACAATATGCTAGAGTGACCATGAAGTATCAATCCCGATTTCAAAGTGAAAAATTGAGACATAGAGTAGTTTAAGTGACTTCTCCATGATCAGACAAAAGAGTGGCAGAGCTGGATTTTGAATACATAGGGCACATCTACACATGCATTAATGTACCGTTGCTAACACGCATTAAATTTAGTACCTCCAATATGAGGTATTAAATTAATGTGCATTAGGCTGTGCTAATGTCCACTTAATGTACAGTGGGCTATTTTACTGCACATTAGTGTAATGTCACAGATTTTTACATGACGCTTTAATGCACAGTAAAATAGTCTACTGTGCATTAAAGTGCATGTGCAGACATGCCCACAATGTCTTGCCCATTAGACTATCTTTCCCAAATTTGTGGGATTAAACTGAACAGGACTTGGTCTATAGTAAATAATTTTTAATGTTTAAGGTCTGATTCTTTAAACATTTTTTTCTGTGAGTTGCGTTTTGTTGACTTCAGTGGTACCATACGGAGAAATAATGATTTGTAGATTCCATCCTTTATTTAAAGAAATCAGATTTCTCTTTTCTCTTTCAAGGGATTTTATTTGCTCTTACTAACTTTTCACAATGTTTTGCTTGTAGGTGCTTTCCTCATTCCATATGTGGTTTTCTTTATTTGCTGTGGAATACCGGTATTTTTTCTGGAGACTGCCCTGGGACAGTTTACTAGTGAAGGAGGTATTACATGTTGGAGGAAAGTTTGCCCTCTATTTGAAGGTAACAGAAAGTACTACTTTGTTCTTTTTTTAAAAAAAATGTATGATATGTTGCATAGTGCTTAGAGTCAGAAGAGACCTAAACAGATTATCAGGTCTGACCCCCTGCCCCAGAGAGGAACAGGTGCTGGGGTCATAACACCCCAGCCAAATATCTGTCCAGCCTCCTCTTGAAGACCCCCAAGGTAGGAGAGAGCACCACCTCCCTTGGGAGCCCATTCCAGAACCTGGCAGCCCTAACTGCAAAGTAATGTCTCCTGATGTCCAGCCTGAACCTTCTCTCTAATAATTTGTGGCTGTTATTCCTAGTAAACCCTGGTGGTGCCTAGGGGAACAGAGTCTCACCCAATTCCTGCTGGTCCCCCCTAGTGAGTTTATAAATGGCCACCAGATCCCCTCTCAGCCTTCTGTTGCGGAGGCTGAATAGATTCAGGCCCTTCAGACTGTCTTTATTGTGCCTGACCTGCTGTTCCTTGACCATGCGAGTGGCCCTCCTCTGGACTGTCTCAATGCTGGCCATATCCCTCTTGAAGTGCAGTGCCCAGAACTGGCTGTAGTACTCCAACTGCGGTCTGACCAATGCCGCATAGAGGGGAAGGATCACGTCCCTAGACCTGCTTGTGATGCATCTGTAGACGCATGACAAGGTGCGGTTAGCCTTACTGACTGCTTCCTCGCATTGGCAGCTCATGTTCATCCTAGGGTCAACAATGACTCCAAGATCCCTTTCTGCCACTGTTTTGACAAGAGGGGTATTCCCCAGCCTATAGGTGTGTTGCTGGTTCCTTCTCCCTAGATCCAGTACCCTGCACTTGTCTACATTGAATTCCATCCTATTGTCATCCACCCACCTCTGTAACCTGTCTAGATCTAGCTGGATTCTGTCCCTCCTCTCCAGCATGCCCACCTCGCCCCACATCCTGGTGTTGTCAGTGAATTCGGACGGCGTGCTTTCCACACCCACATCCAGATCGTTTGTAAAGATGAACAGCACAGGCCCCAGGACCAAGCCCTGGGGGACTCACTGCCCACATTCCTCCAGGTCAAAAATGACCCGTCCACCACCGCTCTCTGGGTGCGACCATCTAGCCAATTTGCCACCCATCTGACTGCGTAGGAATCAGTGCCGTGGTCACTTAATTTTTTTAAGAGAATGTGGTGGAAAACAGTGTCAAAGGCCTTCTTAAAGTCCAGGAAGACGACATCCACCTCAACACCCTCATCCAGGGACTTTGTGACCTGATCATAAAAGAAAATCAAGTTAGTCAGGCAGGATCTGCCCTCAATGAACCCATGTTGGTTGCCCTTGAGCATTACCTCCCCTGCTGGGCCCTTGCAGATGTTCTCGATAATTTTCTCAAAGATCTTCCCAAGGACTGAGGTAAGGCTGACTGGCCTATAATTGCCAGGGTCCTCCTTTCTCCCCTTGTAAATGGGGACCACATTGGCCCTTTCTCAATCCTCTGGTACCTGGCCAGAGCCCCACGAGTGCTCATACAGCCGTGCCAAGGGCCCTGCCAATTCCCTCAGCACCCTTGGGTGAAGAGCACCTGGATGTACTGATTTAAACACGTCCAGCCCCTCCAAAAGTTCCTTAATGTTTGAACCAATTAATATTAAGATATACAGAAAACAGTGTGGTCTTAATTTTAAAGGTCTGAAGTACAAAAATTTCTGTGTTTTTTTTCTTTCTCTAGGCATTGGATATGCTACCCAAGTTATCGAAGCGCATTTAAATGTTTATTACATCATCATTTTAGCATGGGCTATCTTCTATCTATTTAACTGCTTTACCACAGAGCTCCCATGGGCCACTTGTGGGCATGAATGGAATACAGGTATGGCCTCAATAAAACTAATAGCTGTAGAAACTCTTTAAATAGTTACTATGTTAACTTGTAGGGGCTAAATACTCACCTGATAGGAACTGACTTAGCTCCATTGAAAGCAGTGGATATGTGTCAGTCGATCATCAGAGAATTTGGTATACAGTATTTACCTTGGTTTGTAAATTACTGGGGCAGAATTTTATTGGTGTATTTGTCTTTTATAGATCTTTCTCTTCTCAAATATATTTATTTGAAAATGGTCAGAAAATCTAAGCTTTTCATAATTCTGACAGATATTTTGGCCAAAAACCGGGATCCTGGCTCAGGACTCTATCTTATCTTTGTTAACATTCAGGGAATTCAAATAAAAACTGGTGGTGGCATGATATGGCTCTCAGTTTCTCATCAGTTCTTACTGAGCTCCTAGTAAAACCAGTGGGAGTTTTGTTTTCATAAATACGGGGGAAATATTAAGTGAAGACCTTTGAATTTGATCTTTCTACACTGTTAAATATCCAGTGATTAAATATTTCCATATATTCAGATCAGTATATCAGAATATTCAGTGATCAAAACTTTTATATGTATGGGTTTAGTCTTGCATAACCTTTTCACAAAACAATGCCTGGTTCCTTTGGGTAGTGTCTACTGGCCTGAATAATGACTTCTTTTGTGAATTGGGTTTTGCAGAAGAGGACCCTTTATTTCTCTTCACATGGAAATTCTTGTCATTTTATCATTCTTCAATATTGCATTCACTTTTAAAAAGATTATAGTGATACATGAAAAATTGTATCCTAATACTACTTTTGAAACAGTAAATTGCTTTGTTTTTCATGAATCTTGACCCCCTTCCCCTTTCTTTGTATCCCATCACCCCAGTTATTTCAGGTTATGGCTTTGACTAATGTTCAGTGGGCCCAGTCCTGTACTCCAAGCATACTTCCAACTCAGTGATAGGATGTGTTAACAATCCAGGATGTGGCCTGCTTATCTCTTAAGTGAAACCTTGCCAGTAGTGATCATTATTTGAATAACATATGTCATTTCAACAATGCTGAGCTGGTTTGATATCTTCAAAGTACTAGTGCACCGATAAAGAATTTTTTGGCTGATTCTGATGGCTTATTATTAACCAGCCATAGCACTGGGAGAGGTGGGCTACAGGCCAAAATCACCACGGTCCTCTCCATAAAACACCCTACGAGTGCTGCATTGCCCACCCTGCCCCTGTCCACCCTGCATGCAGCCCCAGCCCGGCCTCAACGCTGGGAAGAGCCCAACACAGCCCCTGGCCCAGAGCAGGCAGCCCACCCTTGTCCTGCTCACAAATCCAGAGAGCATATACCCCACATGCCTCCCCTGTGCCCCCAGATGAGCTACCTGTAGCTCTATGCCATGTCCCACCCTGCCACAGCTAGGCAGCATCTGCCCCTTCCCCTTCCCCTTCCCCACTCCCTCCCTCACTGTGGGGGCTCTGAAGTGCCCCTGTGATGCCCCTTCCTTCCCCCATGCCCCTATTGCCCACAGACTTACATGATAGATTCTGCTCTACATGCTGCTGGGCTGTACTCCTGGCTGCATTCTTGCTGCTGCTGCACCATTGCACACAGCATTTATTGGCAACATCAGTCATATCAGCCAAAAAAAGCCGATTGCCAATAATCATTTTTTCTTTTATCGGTGCCAATACAATACGGACCCATATATCAGTGCACCTCTACTTCACAGTTTTTCCATACACCAGAGATGACAGTGCACCGAAAAGTAAGTTTCTCACTCTCAGGCCAGTGGAAGATTTTTGCTGGCAGAAAATGGCTTCTGAGCCAACTGTTGCCATTGGGAATTGAACTTCAGTGAACCATCTGGAGCAAGCGGTATCTTTTAATTTCCTGCTATTCACCCCAACTCAAAGGTGCTTTTTTCTGCCTCAGGCATGTCACTGACACTTGAAGTTGTATCTGTGCATTCAAAAGTACTGTAAATGAACATAGCATACTGTGTGTGCGTATCTTCCTGGGATGGATGTGTGTGAACCAATGACCAAAATGCATTTTTTTTCCAAGTGAAGTATTTAAAAATACATGGAAACCCTTCTGTTTTGCTCAAGGATAGTTAATTAAAATGATGTCATTACAGGATGAAAATACTCCGAAGACATGGAGAGGCATGTATGCATATGTGATAGCAATCCTTTTTGTTTGTTTGTTTTTTTATAGAAAACTGTGTGGAATTTCAGAAGCTTAATATGAGCAACTGCAGTCAAATCTCATTACAAAATGCCACTTCTCCAGTCATGGAATTCTGGGAGTAAGTGTATATAAACTTTTCTTTTAACTAAAATTGATTATCTTTGAATATTCTTGATCATGTACAGTTATTTAGGGTTTGTGTCCTATAGCCCTTGGTGATGTGAGATGTTCAGTTGGAAACTGTTTTCTTGTATAATCCAAAAAGATCAGAGAGAGAATTTAACTTGGTAGAGCATTCTAGAAAAGAGATTCTGTAAGTAGCTTTTTCTGTTTCCCATAGAGTTGTGGAGAGAGGGTATTTTGGGCATAGAGCTCAATTCTGTGTTCAATTGCATAATAATTTTCCTCCTGACTTTAGAGGAAATAATGTAAAAAACATAGTATTAGGGAACAAGAGGGAAGGAACTGAAGGTAGTTTTAAATATTTGTTAACTGGTATTTTTCTTAAGGTCTGTACCTTTTACATTTTTTGAGAAAGCTGATAGTCTATGGATTGTATTCCATTATTTTAAAATGGAGAGTCTCAATATGAATGGTGATAGTAAAAGGAGGAAAATTATCTTGTATCTCCTTGATTCAGATTACTAGTAAACTCGGTAATAAAGAGTATCTGTTGACTGAGGGCCTTGTCTTTTAATTCTTTACTTTGAATTGTGATTAAATTGATTATTCTTCATTAATGCTTTATTTAATTAGGTGTATATGTAACTGTCTTTGCTCTACAAAAGCAGTAAGACACTCAAAAATGTGTTGGTTTTAAAGTGACATTTAATTTATAAAAATATGTCACTACAATTAAATATTTTGATGGCACGTTCTATTCATACTAATCTACAGATAGAGCCTTATTCTGAAACTGTGGGATCTTAATCATAGTAGTGAGACATGGAGAGAGCTTATCATGGTATATATTTTGAACTGCATCTTAAGTGAGAGGTCTACATTGATATAATACAGATGTGCCGCTTGCATCATAGTCAATTAGTCTTTCCTTTCAGTTGCATGGGTTATTAAATAAATATATAGTGTTTTTCTAAACAGATTCATTTCAATTACTATGTGTTCCTACTTCACTGAAGGTACTACCATGACCTTAGTATAGGTACATCTGGAGCTTTTCACTTTTTAAGGTAGGTAGAATATGAAACTGAGAATGTTGTTGGCTGGGAAAGAAAATTATGATATGGAGGGAGCAGAGAGGCTGAGGGAAGAGCCTAGCTTGTGAATGGTTAGGAAAAGCCATACCAGCCAGTATGTGGAAGGAGGGTATTGCTGTACATTTTCTGATACTTTAAGATAATTACAATTAAATTATTATAATAGTTAATGAAGAAAGTATGTTCTGTGATGCATTAGCCTTGCTTTTCCATTGTGTTTACTTGTAACTCATTAATTTGGAAAATTCAGCAACATACAGCATCTCACTGAATTATCAAAACAAAGTGATCAAGTTCTTTTGAATCAATACACAAAACCTTAAACCAGCTTTGTGCCTGATATCCTATGAATCTGTGTGTCAGCAAGTACCTGTTTTTCAGCTTCCTAAAATGCAACTTTGCTAATGATGGAAATACAGATACACTGTTATTTTGTTTTCTACTAAAAACCCACTAAACATAAAGAGAAACAATCTACTGCAGTTAAACATAAAACCTGGTCACAGTGGATCTTGAATATACCAAACAATGAACAAGCCAATTGAGTGTTAAAAACCTATTTTAATTTTAAAAGGGATGGTCAGATTCAGCCTTCTATTTCTAACTAGCATGTAACATACTGTTTTAAAATGTGTGTTCAAAAGTTGTAAAAAGCATTCAAAACAGATGAGAGCACAACTAAAATATTTTTTTAAAGAAAAGCTCTAATTGGGCATATTCCCCTGGGCATAAACCTGCACTTGCTTTGTGAATTCAGATAAACAGTTCTGAGGTGCTTTCCACATTTTCAGTGAGCTGAAAACCTTTGTTAAGAATACATAATGACAGTTACCTTTTGTTATTTATCTGGGGCTTCTTTTTCTTTGTTGTTATTGTGTGGACAAGCTGTTGATAATACTAGCCAAAACACTTTAAGAAAATCAAACTGTTATCTATTTTCTCTGGCCAAATGAAACTGATGTTGCATAACGTTCCCCCATTGGCATCTGCATGTGTTCTAGTCCTGCTGAGGAAGATGTTTGCCTAGTTAAACTTTCAGTGGATAAAACCTTGCATGGTTTCAGGATTTATCAGACAACTAACAAATTTAGGAATTCATTTGTTACAAAAAAATACCAGGAAGTTTAGTTATTTTATCGTGGCTGGTAGAAAGTTTAGATTAGAACAACCCATTTTATTATAATTCAGTTATGTGTTCTTTACATTTCATTTAGTTTTGTGAAATCAGATTGAACTGATTGCTTATGGGTATGTCTACATGTGATGCTAGGTCGCTATAGTAACACTCTGCAACAGTGTAGCATCTGTGGGCATCTACACATGACCAGCAGCTACTTTGCTGTAGTGACACACTCCCCCAGTACAGCGCACCGCTATGGCGAAGTAGCTGTGAAAAATAACCATGCACCACACATATGGCACCCTATGGGCTGTTACTGTGCTGTGATTTAGTACTTCAAAAAGGAAGTACTAAATTATGGCACAGTAACAATGTCAGCATAGTGACACATATAGACGTGCCTTTATATGTACCAGAGAGAGAGAGTTGTTAATAAGTAGTTAGTCCACTACCAGCCTAGCAAACTTCTACAGCAAGTGACCTGAAGATAAATGTTGTCAGAAATGTAATTGCACTTAACCACAGATCTTGCTAACATAATGCTGTTATAGGGATTTATCTTGTAAATGATAGCATCAGAAACAGGAGTATTATCAAGGGGCATACCACAAAACAGACTGGAAGATGTGTTGCAGTTTGGGTAGACTCTGTGCTGAACAGACAACCATTGCCATTTACACAGTCCTTATATAGCCAGCATGTGACAGCTTCTGGCACTGCAATGACCCAGCTGGGGGAAGAGAGTTAATTTGCAAAATACTGCATAATTTCTTTGCAGGTAGTTAGCTTTATGTTTGTGAAAGAGGTTTTGTTGATTTGTTTGATTGATTTGGGAACAGTAGTTCTCTAAGCAGTTATGGTATCAGAAGACTATCCATGTTTTGTTCCTAGTTTGTGCAGTGCATAACATAATAGGAGGCCGTGACTGGATTTCTCAGCTATGGCAGCAATACACGTAGTATTAGTAGTAATAGTAATAGTAGGAGTAGTAGTAACAGTAACAGTACATTGGCTTATCCATATTCTTTGATGTGCTATGGAGAGCCCAGCTCTTGGGATAAAAGTTGCTTGGTTTATAAACATCTAGTCCTGTTACAATATGTGACTAAAGGTATCAATTAGTGTCAACAATGATTTCATTTTTATATTAGTGCATTCTCAATTAAGGTAGAAGACAACAGTACAATTGTAAAATTCTCAGGCAGGTGCTAAAATGTTTCTTTGATAACTACTACATCACCCCATGATGTTTGTTTGAGTGGTTCAGTTATTCTCCATACTTATAAAAGTTTATTTAAAAAAAAGATTATTTAACTTGAAAAGGATACAACAGTTACAGCAGTTCACACTGACATAATGCTTTCTATATTTCAAAGAGATTTAAACTATTGTTTATGAAGAGATTTATATGTTGCTGTGTCCTGAACATCAGAAAACTTATATTTCAAATGCCAGTAGATAGCAGGTAGGGTACAAGTTCCACTTGGCTGTGCAAAGGTGTATTGAATAGAATGCACCCATGTCTAGGAGAAGCCTGAAAATTTCTGTGTTGTGTATATTTTGAAAAGTTGAGGAAGGCTTTTCCAAGAAGTTCCCGTTGTTTACAGTACTTTTTGGTATTTCATACTATGCAGGCCAAAAGGTTGGCCATTATTAGTTAAGGTTGAAACTGGATCAGAATCTTCCATGGTTTTGGGGGTGGAAAATTTGTATTGTCCCTGTATATTTCCAGTTTTTAACACTTCTGTAGCTTTGTCTATTCTCTGGTATCCTGCTAGAGCCAAGAAAGTAGCTGTAAATGAGTGCAGTGGGGATGGTTGGAATACTTAGCAGTATAGCTCCTGAAATATACACACAGATTAAATAAATATTCCACAGATTTGAACACAGGACATTTTCTTTTGTTTCACATGCAGGCTTATTTCCTACAACAGTAAGTAACAACTGGGGTTTGCATTAGGCGTGTGCGAAGCAGGCCATGTTTGATTCGGATTTGGCCCAAATTAGGGGACAGTGATTCAATTTGCTGATTCAGGTCATTGTCCCAATTTGATTTGGCCAGATCTGAATCTGAAGATTTGATTCTGATTTGGAGAATCAGCAATTTGGCCATAGACACAGCTTTATATGTCTTTTCTACATACCTCAAGATATCAGGCGTGGCTCCTGAACACAGAGATGGTGGGACGGATGGAGCATCCCATGGGAGCGTGGGGGGGGGCGCGGGCTCCGCACACTTGGCAGTGGACCCCCCTCCACCTCCCTGGCTCAGTGATTGGCTGTGGGGGGACCCTGGGTGCCCCCCAGATCCAGGAGGCACCAGTTGCCAAGCTGGGAGGTGAATGGAGGTGTTCCCTACGCACTTCACAGTGGACCCAGAAGTGGACCGGAAGTGCTACTGGTCCACTTTCAGGTCCACCACTGAGCATGCTGGGGACCCCCCCTGCACTCTTGTGGGATGCTCCATCCGCCCCACCACCTCAGCATTCATGGACCGTCTGGTACCTTGAGGTTTGTAGAAAAAACATAAGAAGCTGTGTCTATGGCTGAATTGTTAGATCTCTCCGAATCAAATTGGAGGCATCTCCTGATTTGATTCAGAATTGGAGATTTGGCTGCCTAATCAGTCTGAATCTCCTCCAAATTGAATCAGTGACCGAAGCTTCATACAGCCTTAGTTTGCATTATGTAATGTAGAGTAATGGTGTAGACAGAGACAGATTAACAGTTATATTGATATCAAAAGATACCCATGCAAACAGTTATGATCCACCTGCATGA